AGTATCTCAACTGTAACCGAATCTGGGTACAAACTGTAACAAAATTGGATCAAAGTCGCTATGTCTATGCTGTAACCCAGCAAAATTCACCTCGCTCTATACTGTAACATTGTTTATTTTGTCAATTGCATTTGACGAACAGGAAAAATAGGTTAAACTGGTCATTTACTTTTATAAACGTTTCTAAACACAAAGGACTAACGTTTTGTAGATTTACTTTATCTATGCATGCATAAATAATGTCGGAATGGGAAAACAATGTGTTGGTCTCTCGGTTCAAACTGTCAAATCTGCACATTTATGAGACAATATAGAGATAAATCTGCGGTACAGGGTCTGAAGAAATATATAACTAGATACCGGATCCTGTTCCTTACAAGCAAAGCAAAAAAAACAACCTTTTAGAAACTAAACTACTTGTAGTATGGACCTGAATAAAAATCACCTACCTCTCTTCCCATAAATAATCCTCCATCTTTAAATTTTTATACTGTAACCGGAAAACGCGATAGTGTAACACGTTCCCTACGGTGAACGACGTTCGTAAATAATTCTCACGATCATACAATCGGTTTATGCAGTAACTTTGACTGAGGAGAAAAGAACATATACACCATTCAAAAATGGCGTCTCAAGTATAAGCGGTGAGTATAATTATTTAAAACAAGTATTAATTTATTTAATATAGCAATGTTTATTAAAGCAATATTTTTTTGTATGTTCACTTATGCCCTTAAGGGCCATGTGTTTTCGTTTATAAATAAAATAAAATATTATTACGATGAATATTATATAGCCGTATAGGATTATAGAGAATATAAGTCCTGAGTGTTCTGGTGTTTGGAAATAGGTATATAGGTAATATTTAGTATCATGTAAGCCGTGACCTGTGGGAAGGGCCAAGGACTTTATGCCATATATAATTTTAAAAAATCCAGTGTGGATACACCGATTCCTGACTGTCATATAATGCTTTTCCCAACCAAATACATTAAGCCAAATGGGTGGTCAGGTGAGAGATTGGGTGTGCACTGACATCACTAATAGTTATTTGGATAAGAATTGAGTTGAAATCAAATCCCATGTGTAAGGATTCTACTCTGAGCATGTAATAATCAGATAGTGTTTTTGTATGGAAGGGATTATTCGCCACTCTAATTAATATGAATACAATGTAATTGATATGAAGACATTCTTATTATTTTGAAGACATTCTTATTGATAGGAAGACATTATTATTATTATTATGTAACATTGTTATTTAATATGAAGACATTATTATTAATACGTTGTAATCATTATGCAATATTAAGATGTTGTACTTGCTGACGTAACTCGAACATTCAATTTACACTTCAGTTCTAAGGCTGTAAACATGCAAACTATAATTAGATATTTAATTTGCTGGCTTTCAAATATTTTTCCTTTATTTGAATTTGCTTTCTATAATTAATTTACAAAATCATGGTAATTTTAGTCCCATGCTGACATTGTGTATTATGTATTCGAAACAGCAGTTTGCATAGCACACTAACAGTTTCGAAGTGTAAATCAAAATTAATTAGGTTTTTGCGCTAGAATTGGCCCTTTTAATCAACGGGGAATAACTGGTGTAATAACCGCTCCCTGACCGATGTTCACAAATCTGATACTACGAAAACTAATCCGATCATGTGGAGGTTAATGACTACCAAATATTTCCCCCTATATATAACACACCGTATTACCGGCGCCAGTGATGGCAGATCACTGCAGTGATGGCAGATAGCTGAAATTTACCGCTTGGTACAGGTAGGTTATAAATTTGGTTGGTATTATAATATTACACAAATACGGCCCATTTCATTGATATGAAACTATTGTCCATTGACTGGAGATACTATTAGGTAATTTTGGACTCGTTTTTTCCTGTTTTTGTTCCTGTACCTAGCGGTAAATTTCAGCTACATTGTATCTGCCATCACTGCAGTGATCTGCCATCACAATACGGTGTGTATAACGTATAGAAAAAAGGCCAAGTTTGAGGCAAAATATCTCAAAATCCGCTGCATACAGTATGCCACATGCATACCTTTTCTGAAAGATCTTCAAAAATGAGTTGATGTAAAGAATAAAAATAATATGTTGCGCATTATGCAAGAGAGATCATGTTCGTTGTTGTTGTTGTATATAGAGCTATTTCAGGCAGGGTATCAGGTCAGGGTATCGCATTTTAACATGGCCAGCGATTGGCTGAAAAAAGTGCAGGGGAAACCGTATGATTCAATTTATACATGAGGTGGTTGGATGAAAACAGGGTATTTTTAAGTATAAAACTAATTTAAAAAGTAATACTACATTGTTTTCTGAAGAAAATGAAACATTTCATGAGTCTCTATAATGATAATTTTGACTTGGATATTTGCATTTATAAAAAGTGTATGTCAGTCCTGTGATCAGCAGAATATTTCAATGAAATGGGGGTAATCCTTTTTGAAGTCATTTTGCAAAAAAATGGTTGGCTACCCCTATATAACAGGAACATTTTTATGTGTCAGGCATTTCATTCTGCTAGAAAAATCACCTCTTTAGCATGAAAACTCAATTTTAAGGTAGGATTAGGGACCATTTCTTATAATGTAAGTCTATGTAAATATCAATGTGAGTGTCTGACCATTACGATGTTTGATCGGATCTTTTCCATGAGGTGATTTTTACGTCCGCACCGAAAGGGATCAAGTAGTATTAAACAGCGACCTCTGTCGTAAGAAAAAGCACTACAAAAATTGGTTCCCCGCTTCGTTTTTTTGATAACGTCAACATTGATATAAAGACGATTTTTTTAATGAGTCAATGTTAAACATCATTTTATACTGCAATGATGTTTCGATTGATTAAATGTTGAACATTTTATTACAAATGAATTAACACATATTCGGTAGGGTCCATATACTGATTAACCTAATGTTGATTTTAATGTGTGATTTTAAATTTAAATGTATTAAATACCAATTTTCAGAATGAAACAAGAAAAACGTGTATAAAAAATAAAATTAACGTATAACAAAGATATATTTAAAAATACCTTTATAATTATAAAGATACGAAATACACTAAGTATTGAAAATAACCAAAATCTAACATCAAATTCACTATCGCAAAAGTACAAACTGAAATTGGAATGTCATAAAGCATAATAGGTGAACTGGCGGATAATCCCTTCCATATTTTTGAATGGGATGTATCCTGTATATTCACTGTCCCCCTAAATAGGAATCCAGTGTAAAAGATGTCTATGATATTGGCAGTCAGAGCAAACAATGAATAAACTGACAAAAGAGTGTGTGCATATTGTAAAGAAGCTCGTGTAGTGGGTGAAGGCCACTGGCACCAGAGATCTTAAATAATCATAAAATAAATTAAATTATACCCAAATGATACAAACTGCCTGAAATATTATCACTGCACAACGACAAGTATTATTTTTTCTAAATATACTGAAATAGATCTACACACACAAGCTTTTCCAGTTTTTAGACTATTTGTTTCAGTTTCGTGTGTATAAATAAATATTTATCATCGTTAATTGCGTTTGTTGTTTATTCTTCTTATAATATATCGTCGGATGTCCTAAATTTGTCCCTGTCCTAGAGTCAACACCCTTACTTTGTATGCCAGAAAGTCTCAACAAATGTCAGTTAATAAAGAAAACAGTTGTATATTTTTATACATTAAAGTAAATTTAATGTATCTGCGAAATTTCTTTATCAAAGAACGCTTGGATCATAAGGAAATATAGTGTATCAAACTGGCACTGTAAAATGCTTTGGGTAACGAACCATGGCCACCCGAGTATATATTTGTATAAAATACAATAGATCAATTAATGGGTGAATTTGAACATTTAACAGTTTACCTGATATGTTTACACCTTTTATCCCTTATTATCCCTTTATTACTAATTTCTATATAAGTGGTACCTTACCTCCAAATAATTGTACATTATGCAATGGTACGTAAGTCGTAACCTCCAAATTCCTTTGAGACATGTAACAGATATAGTAAGGTAGCCTATGGCATACCTAAAATGATAAGCTGGACCATCTCTCTTCCTCATCTCTGGCCCCTGGCCTACATTAATCGTTTTATCTTGTCACTGTTTTCCTGTACATGCGAAGTTGTTTTAAATAGTTTCATCAGCATTAAATGAAATCGACGAAGATATTTTCTTATGCATTTTATATAGGGAAAATAATAACACCGGCGGGGTGTACTCTGGCTTTCCATAGTTAAACTCCGAAAAGGTGTATCAAATGCATTGAAATCACTACTCAGTCGTTCGGATGTGACTTTACATCTAGGTCCAGTTTTGAGTGCTTAAACACTTGGCAGGTTAAAAATCTAGGAGAAGCTTCTGGAATTGGGGCATCTTTCTGTATTTTGCACTATCCTCCAACAATTTAAAATGACTAATGTCTTCTGGAGGACCCGCCCATATGGGCAACCGTGGGCGAGAATGAATAAACTCAAAATACACACTAAATATTATCGACAACACTGGGTAGTGTAGAGACAGGCCTTACTGTTTGTAGCCCAATTTTTGTAAGCTCACTCTTTTGTTGGAGCATTGTCTCTATCCGCATTTTAGAAATCATGATCACAATGTAGAAACATGTCGTGTTTTTTCCGTTGATTTTTACATTTTTTACCCTAAATCAATGTGAAGAGATGAGATGAATTAAATGTCTTAAAGTGCATTTCGGCGGGTCGAAAGGAGAGTTTTAAGCATTAATAGTTCAAGCGCCTTGTCCGGTATATACGGGAATACGGTACTAAGTTAGGTGCTCAAACACTGTTTTTAGTCTCACTCTTTGTATATTTGTATTATGATATCACTTAAACTTTACATGGACTGCAGAAAAAAATCCACAATTTCAGCAGATATTGATAATCTTTTTTCTGAGTTGGTGATTATAATATCTTGCTATATTTCTTCAATATTTTATTTTACAGGAGTTAAGAAAAGTGGTACCTCTGACTTTTTCAACAGAATCGTAGCGCATCCAGAATTTCAGACACCAAGTTTCAAGAAGGCACAATGGTTTCCTAGGTTACGCGCCGGTATAGACACTAAATTTATCACAGAAAGATCCGATTTTATAAGTGAGTATTTCTTTTAAGAATAAACTCATTTTGAATAAATGAATCCATTTTTATTTATTTATTTATTTATTTATTTATTTATTTATTTGCATTATTGTATTTACTTATTTAATTAAATTTTGATCATTTATTTTCTTATAATTTCATGATTGATTGATTGATTGATTAATTAATTAATTATTTGAAGTTATTGATTAATAATGTCAATCACCTAAAGATATTAATTAATCAATTAGTAATTGACATTGTTCATGATTTAAATCAATGAATTAATTATTTAATTATGAGCGACCGCCGTACGGACGAACGGACATTTCAAGGGGATTGTCATTATAGAATTTGTTTCTTTGATATTTTTCAATCCCGCAAGTCACCTTTTTATCCCGGAAATTACAATTGTCTCTTAATGCCACGTTGTACATAAGTCCTAACTCTGTTATGGTTATACCCTAGGATCGGACGGACAGATGTCTGGGCGCTCGGATCAATCCATCCATCCATCCATCCATCTTAGTTTGTTCTATTTTATTATTTATTTATTTTGTTTTACTTATATTGTTATAAATTCTTACCGATTTCTTTCAAGTTAACGGTTTGCGCCAGTAATTTTTTTTAGTTTTTACCCCACAATATAGCTGATTACTGTAAAACATATTATTCTCACCTATTACTGCAGAGAGCAAAAGTAAACCAGCTTTATTTTAAAATCTAATCTCACATGTTTTCATTTTTAAACCAACACTATTGCAGATACTATCCAGAAAGGTATCGATAATCGAAGTATTAAGTTTTACATCTCAATGTTTGATAGTGCAGCAGACGGCATTCAGAACTGCACGAGACGGAGGGTCACCACTAATAAATGTATAACTGGTAAGTTCCTATGCGAAGTTCGTTTCCTCTTTCTGCGATTTTTGCGCATGCTGCTCGCGGTTTTCTCTGGCATATAATCATATTCATAATGAAATTGTTCGATAAATTGATAAATAAATAAATAGATAAATAAATAAATTGCGAATATGTAGATATAGACAATAGAGTGAAAAAAAAAACAACAACAAAAACTATCAACATCAGCAAGAACATCATCAACAACAACAACAACAACAACAACAAGAAAAACATTTTATGGTGTGTGTGTGTTTCATACACTACAAGATGCTATAAGTCAGTTTGCGCGTTTCGCACTACACTTTTAAAAAGCGCACAGCTCATCTGTCTGTGCAGAATATAAACTACCAATTACCTCCCCTGATCAGTTAAAACAGTGCAACTTGCCAAAGTCTGAACCATAAAACAGACTTCGTACTCTCAGTGTCTGAAAGCTAGAAGGGACCCTCAGTAAGCCTAGAATACATATAAACATATTTCTCCTATAATGGAAATGTTTATTCGAGTTTTATTTAACAAATAATCTTTCAAAATTCGAAAATTGCCTACATCAGTACTTTCTTTTTTTCATGATTATAAATAAATACTCAATTTCAAAGTCTAATGGCGTGAATCAGTCGTATGATTTTTAGTGGCGATTATAAGATTTACACGTTTCTTTTCTTAAATTTTCTCTGTATTGAGACTAAGTTTTGAAAAAGGACATTATACACCCTTTCACATATTATTATTATATTGTTAAACTTTTTAACACTTAAGGTGTATAAAGCTATATATCTGATAAAATAATTATTGTTTGGATTTAAAAAGAGAATACTTCCAAAATGCTTGTATGAAATAAAAATGGCAATAATTAGCCTTAAAGCGAGCTGCGCAGCTAATTGGATAAAACCCTACTTAAAATAGCAAAATAATATTTTGTTCCGGAACATTTTATTCTGTTTGCGTACATTATTCATGTGTTAAATAACAGAGACATTATATGTTACTTCTTTTTCGTGATACAACCATATAATAATGGAACCAATATTATTTTACTGTTGATAAATTTTATAAAAAATATTTCATAAGATTTAGATTTGAGCCGCGTCACGACAAAACCAACATAATGAGTTTGCGACCAGTATGGATCCAGACCAGTCTGCGCATACGCGCAGTCTGATCAGGATCCATGCTGTTGGCTATCAGGGTTTGTAAGCGAACAGCATGGATCCTGATCAGACTGCGCGGATGCGCAGGCTGGTCTGGATCCATGCTGGTCGCAAACCCATTATGTTGGTTTTGTCATGACACGGCTCATATAGATTTATACCCTTTAATTTATTTCAAAGCGGAAGCCACGCCAGCAAATCTTCACATGCACACCGGCTGGAAGCTGATGCCCGGCAACGAAGGATTAACGGAACCACGTTATACCAATTTTCATTATATCAAACATTTGACGCCTGATGTAAAGATTATCATTATTTTTAGAAATCCAGTGTCAAGGTAAGTGTCTCTGCTGTTTTAACCCGGTGCTAGGGGGTGGGGTGAAAAGATAGTTCACATTTAATTAGCTTTTATCAGAGACATAGATAACTATGTAATCTATGTCTCTGCTTTTATGAACAGAATCAGTCACATTAAAATAAGTCGAAATAGTAAATTGATCGAATAGAAAGAAAGAAACTTCATTTGGCTTTCAGACGGTTAACTACGCGGGTTGTAAATTAAAAAAAAATTGTCTTTTGGTTTTTATAAATAGACAAGCATTTATGACTCATAACTTGCTGTAATGGTTGTTCGTTATCTCTTATTTTGAGTACTTTTGTTAGAAATGTTTTTTTTGCTAAGGAGAACCATGCAAGGGATTCTTGCTTAACAAATTTAATATCAAATTATAATCCGCAATGATCTATGTTCTAGCTACATGAAGTCATGTCAGTGAAAATCGTGAAAGAAAAACAGAAAAGAAAAAAGGGAAAGAAAAAAAAGACCCTTAAAATTGATGGCATAATAATTTACAAATGTAGTATATCACAATGCCACTGCTATTGTCTTTTCATTTTGCACTTTTTGTCATTTGTGTAAATAATTTGTGTTTATGAATATACACGTACACGTACATGTTCAGCTGAAAATGTCAAAATACCAAATGAATTGCAAAATGTTCAAATTCTACACAATCCATATACTCATAACAATCAGTATAGTAGCATTACAATTATATTACATGTTCGATTTTAACTTTCAGACTATTTCTGGACTTTATGCATCAGATAAAACTAAGCAGTGAACATAATATTGATGAACACGAAGCAGCAAACAAGTTTCATCATGTTGCCAAAACATTGATAGACGAATACACGATATGCTTTGATAAATTCTCAATGAGACGTTGTATTTATGATGAAGATTTTGAAAAAGGACTTCCACAGGTAGTACAAAATGTTTTTCCTTTCATATCCACATATCAAGGTTCCTTTCATATCCAGGTTCCAAAGGAGGTAAAACATTTGACGCCAGACCTAGTGCTTTCTCGTTTGAAACTTTTCTTGGGGTTTCTCTAACTCGTGAATTATAAGGGGCACGTTCTCGGTCAAAGGATCAACCTCATTTCTAGTTTTCATTACATTTCACCTTTCATCTAATCCCTCTTTACCTATGTTAATTCAATACCATTCAATGTAATACTTCATTAATTAAAATGTTCCCGCTTTTTGTGTCACGGGTCAATGTTACTAAACCCTACTACTAGTATCTGCCAAAAAGGCCAGCTCTCTTAGAAATTAATTTAGCTCAGTAAAAGGAAAATTTTAAATTCAAACTATTTCATTCAACACTAATTGTCTTTCTTGAGTAATATCACAATAACTATGTAACTCTTATTTTCTGCATATTGTGCCTTTAAATGTAAATTATTATTATTCAATAAACACATTTCATATTAAACTATTTTGTCTCACCTTAGATATGTTAATCTTATTGACATATTTTTATTATCTATATATACAAACCTGTTTTCTTTTTTACGTGATCACCTGCGATACTAATGCAATACTATTCTTGTTTGATATTGTTTACACCCCATCTAACCGAACTGATTTAGCCGATGAATACAAAAATATTGTATGTAAAAAATAACCATTAAATACGCAATGATATGAGATAATATAATAGAACATTTCCTCATTTCATATTTCAGGGGAGTCAGTATTTGGCTGAAAGTTTCCGAGCTGGTTTTTATGCCTTTTACATGGAAGAACTCCTGTCTGTATTTCAGGAGGATCAACTATTTGTCATTAATATGGAACAATATCTTACAAAAACGAGACAAACTTTAAAAGAAACGTTCAAGTTTCTTAACATGAGTAAGTTGATGTGTCGTAATACTAACAGAGCTGCTCTATCTATATGAGATTTTGTTAAGTTTGAAGTTTTAACATGTCTAAACGTTAGCGTAAATAGAATGTCTTGATTACTCAGCAGACTTTTACTTATTTAAGTGGTGCTGTGTGTGACAATCAAATGCAACTATCTATAAAGATCTAATACCCGTCCAAACACAGGATATCTGTGAGAAACACATTTAAGTTGGAAACCGCTTTTAGGCAGCTTCATTTGAATGTTGTGAATTATAATTGTAATACATAATAAAACGAGTACTAATGTTCAAATCACATACAATTACTTTATTAACTAATGTCTTACATTTGACTTGCATATAATGACAAAGTTTCTAAGAAAGTACAGAACAGTTAACCATCCAATATAATTACGTCAGCCATGACGTCATTTTCCTCGTAGACATAAACAAAGCTTCCAGTAGATAAAGAATTTTACTCAGTTTTATGGAAGATGTTTTGTTCTTTTTGTTTCAGGTGCAATATCTTCAAGAGAATTGTCAGAAATACTGAATTTTAATGTATCTAACGAATCCAAGAAGCATTATGACATGTTGCCAAAGACTAAACATCTGCTGTATGAATTCTATAAACCGTACAACAAACAAATGGCAACACTTCTGAAAGACAATTCTTTTTTATTTCCGGAAAGATAATTCGTTCCATTATATTAAATATTTACAGAAAAATAATCATTTCGTTGTTATTCTTTTAAAATACAAGTCATGCCGCGGTGTTTTATTTACCGTATTTATTTTGTTTAATTTAGGTTTACTCACACTAACCATATAGATCATATGGCGACTTTCCATCTTTAAATGCTGAAGGAAGATCTAAGGCGGTCATCCGTTCATTTACTTCAGGCAAGCACGAACAGACCAATAGGTGTACGTGCGTGTAATCCGTGTAAATATTTATGTAAACACACTATCAGAGTATTAGGACAGATAGCTAGATTACGTAATAAACTATTGCAACATTTTGTAGAACGTAGCTAGTTATAACAATAGGCAACTATGAAAATGCATTATCAATATTTCAAGTGCATTTCAGATAAGAGGATAAGAGTAAGTCCTTCAAAGCAATGTTTTTATCAATCCTTACTTGTTTTGATAATATACGAGAGCTGATGAGGACCATTATACCTCCAGAAATAAAATACTAAAACTAGAGATAGTGGAATAAAATAAGTAGTATTATATTTATTCAAAGGAAAAGGCGTACCGTCAAGGGCAAAAGTTATTAATGTCAAGGACAATGTGTTGTTAATAAATTGATCAAATGTAATATGGTTATAATGTAAAGAAAAAGACATGCGGTCAAGGCAGCAGTTATTAATGTCAAGGACAAAGGGATCAATTGTAATATGGCAAAAACGTAAAGTAAAAGGCGTGTCACGAAGAGCAACGGTAATTTATGCCAAGGAAAAGGCATAATAAAGCAAGGGATCACATGTATTATTGTAATAATCCGAAATAGAGAGATGTACTACATTTTTTAAAAGATTCACAAAATGAAAACAAAATATCGCCAATGCTTGATAACAAAAATATATGAAATCACGAAAAGACAAAACAAACTCAACAACACCAACAAAAACAACAACAAACACACAAGAAAAACAACAACAACCAATATCCAGAAGAAAAAAGACTCATTGTTATAAAAGTAAAGAACACTTCAATAATTACAAATTTGAATTAAAAGCCCAGAAAGAAAAACTCAATAAAACGATGGCTTACTAGTGTTATATCTCACTTGAAATCAAAGCAAAATTGATAAAAAGACTATCGGGATAAAAATCCAACTTGAATGTGTGCACCTAATTAGAATGACTTATTTTATAATAGGCCAATAGAGTTGTCATTTTGTACTTCACATCTAAAATTTGAATGTCAAATCTTGCTGTTTAGTATAATATGAGCCGATCATTATTTTTCAGGTTTACGATTAAAACTCTGAATTTGTGGACTGGATTTACCCTGCTTTGAATTTGGAACAATTGTCCGTTTGAAGTTTTAGGGATTCTTATCACAAAATGAAAAAATGTTACAAATGTCAAACTGCGAATAAGTGCACGCTGGCATGGCAATATACTGCTGGCAAAGGTTTATCACCGTCCCTTGATGCAGGTTAAAGTTTAAGTCATTTGATTTCAAGTTACGGAATAACAGTAATGATAATTATTTATATATACATTCACTGGGCATACCCAATGACATCAATCAACGCAATTAAGTCATGTTTAAGGCATTTTATTGCATTTATTCACAATCATAACTTAAAAAATAGTAAACTAAAAACCTAGCTTCAAATATGGCTAAGTTTTCATGGTTGTTGAATTATTGCATGTTACAATTTGGGTAAAAAAGGGAAAATATATTTGGCTCTCATTTTGTGGGTTTATGTTTACTTATAAACACCGGTTCATTTTTCGTTTGATACGTGATTTTTTTATTTTATAGATTTTACCTTCAAAGGCTTTCGTATTATTTTAAACATGCCTGTGAAAATATGCACTGCATGCATATAGATAAGATAATGCTTATAATCAAGTGAATAGTTTTAACATGGTTTTCTTAAGGAAAGAAAGCAAAATTTTAATGTACGCATTGTCTGCATGGATATTAATAATATATGTTTTGTTTGTAAGCGTTCAGCGACTCGAAGAGAGATTTCATGTGATTGACACGGCACGTGTCGGGCAAGTTAAAAAGGTGATAGTTAATACAGACGTTGACAAGGAAGAAACAGTGGAAGACATATTTTGCATTGGTGCTGTCGTGATGGTGCGGATATACCGCGGAGATAAGCCAGAACTTACAACATATGAGGTCGAACAATGGATACGCTACATGCAGTATTCAGGGGTAGATGAAGTCTACTTATATGACACGTATGAAGAGATCGGTGAAAAACTAGAATATTGGTGTAGAAAGTTGTTTGACATAAAGGAAGTTTTCTATCACGACTAGCACAATAATACTCCATTTGAAACGGTTAAAACGCAAGTATCGGCGTCAACATTCGATAGACAATTATAAAAATCGTTGTGAATGGCACATAGCAGTTGATATTGATGAATATCCTTTTGTTATTGGAGACACTAAACCAGGATTTTTGAAACGTTTCATCAAAAACGTAACATCTGAATATCCAGACTGTGTTGAAATATCTTTCCCTAATTATATATTTTCGGGTTATCCCAAAGATTTCGCATGGCTAATAGAGCGTTTACAGCGTCGGCATCCGTACAGAACCAACGAGCTAGATAAACCTCTCTATCGAGCCAGAAATATCAGTGAAGTTGGAATACACCATAACCACATAGAAGGAATGGGACAATCTATTGACATTAATGGAGATATAGCTAGAATGAATCACTACTGGGGAGCACGTTTACAAAACTGGAAACCGGATACAAACGAGACACTGTCTGGGACGATTAAGGATTCATCTATAATTCATATTCTCAAGGAATTAAAACGAAAAGCTCTAATGTCAAACAAGATGTCAGCATATGTTACAAACAGATTTTGGAACATGTAAACTGCCTTGCTAATAGCGTTGATTATTTTTATACACATTTGCCTAACGATTAAGTACTTTCAGAATATTAATTTCATAAATTAGTTTAAACATATTTTATTTCAAACATTTTCACACAAACAATTATTACATACAATCATAAGTTACATAAACAATGCTGAAAAAGGATTAGATCCGAAAGCATACAATGCTTATAGAGGTCTTTTCCTAACATATAATTCATTACTGTAAATTCGGCGGTAAATTACATGTTCGAAATAGTATATCATGAAACATTTTATTGATGATGAATGAAGAAAGACGAGGACGGCAAAAGTTTCTATTCAGAGCTAAAAGTAAAAAAAAATAAGTAGTTGAAATAAGTTAGATAGGAAATCATGCTATAATATGTTTTAAAATCAACATGAAATGCTAATACTGTGACCTAGTGAAATGACACACAAAAACATATTTAGATTGATGGTCAGAAAAAGATTTCATAAATTGAAACCTAGCTGACACTAATGTCGATAAATTTACAATGAATTACAGTGAACATAATTTATCGAAAACAGAAAAATGTTTAAGCAAAGTTTCTGGTCCGTTTTCCTTAAATACATGCTGGAGGTAAATAAAACAAGAGAGAAAGTGGAAAAAGAGTACGATATAATTCACATATGTGTCAGTATGGACCGAAACTTGCTCAGCATGTATTGCAGTAACGTATTAATTGATTATATCTGTTATCTGAGGAGAATCAAGCAATCGCATTGCTTTATTTTTATTTAATGAAATAGTAAAGTTGTCATATAAATACAGGAGAAAGTGATAATATCTTCTACTTGTGCGTTTTTCACATATATAACCACATGTTTGTGGTACTTCAAATAAGATGAGGTATTAGGATCAGTGCTTAATCCCTTTCAAAAATGAATCAGGATGAATTCAATCAAAACGTATTTAAGCAAAGGTTTGGACAGTAATCAATTAAACAATCTGAGATAACGAGTCTAATATACACCAAAAGTTGACGTGTGATTTTTCCCTATCATAAACTTCTCTGTCATATCAGTTTACGGTGTTAAGACAAACAAGAAATTATAGCTTCAACTTTTTGCTTGTTATCTTGGATATCAATCCGTGAAGTAATCCATACACAACATCTCTCAGTTACAATGATTATTTAATAAATATTAACAATTTGCACTTTCTTTACTTTTTCAAAACATTTCTGTAACTTTACCGTTAACCCTTTCACCTTCTCGAACCAAATATGACTAATATTCGCCTGTACATCAGTTGGCTGTTGGATATTGTAAGCATCATATCTTTCTTAGTGTTAAATTGTATTTATCGAAGGAAATAAAAAATCATGTCTTCCGATTCGATTGCCATTATTCAAATTACTAGTATTATAATCGTTTATTATTAGGAGGGTTATACCTTAAATGAGGTATTATATTGTACCCGTGTCCTTCCTTGTTGATCATAAATATGTTTTCATATTTTATGAAAGTTTTGTTAAGGGTGTTTGGTTTTGACTTGTATCGTTTTTCTTTATTATACAGGTCGTACATATCCCGCTTACGTTTATGCTGTAATGCATCGGGAAACACTTGAAATACAAAAATTCGCAGTGGTCTGTTATCAGAAAATAAGAGGTCTATCAATTTGTTTTATTGATAAAATTTTTCGATGACTTACCCTTAATTGCCATGTTGTTACAAAAGAATAAATAGATTTATTTCTCAGTTTACCATTTATTAATAAATAACGTAGGGTTTATACCAAATAACATAGCACGAAAATATTGATATATTTTTCTCTACAATATTAATTTATCTTAGCAGTGTGAATGTAAAATTTAGAATGGTACATCAATGATAAGTATGTCGTTGATTCACAATTAAATATCAAATGCCTATAATATTCAAGAAAATATCCCATATTTGATCAATCGTCACAAAAATGGCGACGAATGGATATTCTACAAAAAGTCTTTTAGTGCGGAACTCTGATAAAAAACATAAGGCGCATTTTAGCCAATATATTACACAAATTAATTTACACAAAGCTCACACTGTGGTTATCTATTGCAAAAGCATTACGAAATACCAATACTGAACTGACAGTATCATTTGAAAGATTAAACAGACATAATTCTAACAAAAATGATGTGAATACTATATTTCTTTAACAACATCAAATTCATAACAACACGCCTGTTTCAAATATACGAATACGAGTATAAGTCTATGTGAAGCAGGTATGACCGAAATCAAAATATGAACGAATAAGGTTGATCGTCTATGTAACAGGAGTGACATCAATTAATTTAAATATATGACATAACAATGAGGTTGCTGATTGAAGGAGGAGACCAAAAGAACACAGCGATTGTAGACACGAAGAGGAAAAGAAGGCGTCTCTGAGACATTGCTTGATTGTGTGAGGCTGCAGCATTAGCACACAAATGGTATGTCAATATACAATGTACAAGTTTTTCAATAAACTAGCATATGTACAACAGTTGCTTATCACCGAATTCCCTATTAATGCGATTTTTCAAACGACGACTTGTTGTAAAGAGAATCACGTAGTCTGAAAACAGACTTCCTTTTGGAAATTCCAATGCAGAATGCATGTTATAAGTATTCAGCCTCCACTTCTCTAATCCATCGAGAATGACTAGGCATTTGTCTGGTTCGAGTTGTAGTACTTGATCTAAAGTTTTACCGTACTCCTCACCTGGACGAAGCAATCTTATCATTTCGTTGATAGAATCGTCTGAGCCCACATCCGAAAGGGATATCATGAAAACGAATTCAAAATTCTTGAGAATGTGCACGTTTGTCTCACTTTGAGCCTCACACCAAGCGGAGACAAGTTCCAAGCAAACTGTTGAGGCTCTGCCTTCATCACCAATGATATGTATATGTTTATGCTGTTTTCTGTGGTAGTCGTCGTAGAAAATACCTCTATAGGAAGTAACGATACCTGTTTTAGGCGACATTAAACGGCCAGGTCCAAAGATCATCGAAATCTTTTTATTAAACCTTTTCTCTTTTAACGTTTTCCTGTGAGTTGTAATCAGAAAATCTTTCAGTTCTGAAAAAAGCACATACAATATATTTTTTGACCTTGACATATAAAATCAAAGAATAAAGTATCTTTTTGTTGAATAAACGATTTTGGAGGATTAGGCAAAGAGACAAACAAGTGATTAAAGAGTGACAGTACAAGAGTTTTAATGACAACTATTATCTCAATTGGAGTAATTATTCTTCTTTTCCACATTTTGAATATATTCGTTCAAGGCTATGTCTTGCAGTAAACAGATGTTAAGTTGTTCTTTCATGACTCAAGCAAACAAGTGCAATTTGTGTGAACTTTTCTATTGCTACATGTGTAATTGCTCAAAAGTGTAATTTGATAATTATTCATCCACCTTAGATTATATCTTTTAATAAAAAAAAGAAACATTCAAAATACATGAGATTTCAATATAAAAAATAATTATCGATCTACCAATAATATAAAGGTAAGACTGCACAGATGTGAAGACTAATCTAGTAGATGGTTAGGGTTAATCATTTTCAGCAGGTAAATATCTTGTTTAAAAAACAATTTGTATAAACCCTTTTGACCTTCCAAAGAAATGAAATGAAAAGTTCGAATAGAGCACACGGCAAGTTATGCACTTGTTTGAACAAAGAATTATGTCAATTTAACTATATACTGTTGCTGTAGAATAAGTTAAAATGCTGAACAGTTAGTTCTTAAAATTGACCTTGTTTTCTTCCCTGATAATCCTCATCCTCCGACACAACTTTTGGCATAATGTGACGCTTGAATGTAACGAATTCCTGTAGAAAAGTAAGGGAATTATTAAACATGGTATCGTATAATGGTCTTATTCAAACTTTTCATTTACAAGAAATGTTATTTATGTGTTAGACATACTATGTTTGCCCTTCCGTGTTAAAAAGGTTAACTATCCTGTTTCTTCAGCCAGATAATCTACATTTATGTACAAATTGAACTGTGAAGTGATTTTCATTTTCATTAAAACTTCGTAACTGCACGGTTCATTATCTTAAAGATATCAGTGACTATGATCATTAATATTATCACTATCTTCTTACAAATAACTTAATGAATACCTGGGGTAAGTGATAGTTAAAAACGGAAATCCTGAAAGTCGACAAAATTGTTAATTTTAGTTTAGTTTGTCTGAGTTAGTTTATTGAAGAAAAGGCTTGTTCAATACTTAATACCGTCTACGCCCTCTATCATTAAAATAAGTATAACAAAATACGTAAGAATGAAATAAGCGTTTCATTAGGAAATTTAGGAGCATCCTCATATGTGTTCATACAACAGTGATGGCAGCAAAGCATCGAAGATGGTCAGATTTTAATATTTTTTTAATTACCTGGTAAAGACATTTGAGTCTTTCTTTACATCTGAGTTCATCAGATGCAGAAAACGGACGTTGATCCAAATGATTGTTTGGTAGAGAAAAAAATGGCCTTTTTACACTCGTCGAAGATGACTCATCTACTTGCAGCGAGTGAAAAAGACTTTCAATATCAGTTTGTAAATCGTTTAGATCTTCGGAAGTAACTTTTATGCCAGGTGCTTCTATTTCTCGTAAAGTGGATTCCGCTCTTTCTAATTGCAGTAAATGATCAAACGTAAAGTCACTATAAGATAATCTTCGTAACATCTTGTCAAGTAAAAATGCGTCATCAACGGTTACATTCTTTGGTCCTACACCTAGTGAATGCTGAAAAAAGATATGACTTTTAGAAATAATTATTTCCGTTCCACCTTATAATCAATAAATTACTAAATATAACTAGATTTCTTTTAATCGAAGAATCTAAATGTAAATAGATAAACAAAACTTAAATCTAGCTGTCGATATACAATTAAGATATGATTACCTATTTCTTTCTTTTTGCTTTGAATTGTCTTTTTGTTTTTCATGTCATTCAAAAAAGGACCCCCTCACACACAAAATACACCAGAAAACAAGCAATTATCACAGCATTGCAAGCAATCCATAAGTCCCCTACCGGTTAGAACCCAGCAACATTCTGAAGGGCCATTGCTGGCCATTCACTAATGCTTCAATTTTTCTCTTTTTTAAGAAAATTTGTTGGAAAAGTTCTTTAAAAGTGATCACAGGAAACAGTTTTTAAGAACAGACAGACTGAAGGACACTCTAAAAGTTAACTTTGTAAACATCCCTGTTACCAAAATATAACATTTTTAAAAGCAAAATTCTTTAAGAGTAGATAACTATTGAAATAAAGATCCAAGATGTCATACATGACGTGAGTGTAACAGAGAACAATTAGTAAGGAAGCTGTTCATATTTTAAATTTGAAGTAAAAGAAAGTTGAAAGAATGAATAAGAAAATTTTTAAGTTTAAGGAGGAGATAATTCTGGAAATATGGATGCTAGATTTATAAACCTTGTCATATTATAATGATGTGAAAGTTTGAAGTAAATCCTATAAGTAATGAAGAAGTTGGAGTAAAATATACAAATTTCTCGAAAAAAATTCTCAGTTCAATGGGGGACATAATTCTGGAAATAGACTTGCTAGAGTATTGAACCTTCTCATAAATGATTTGAGTGATAGAAACATAAATATGAAGTTTGAAGAAGATAAATTAAGAAATAAAGAAGTTATTAAAAAAACACATTTTTTCATGTAAGTTCAAGGGAGGCAATTCTGATAATTTTTGTAGTAGAGTAAAAACCTTGTCATATATGATGTGGTCGATGACCAGAAACTTATTTTTTAATTTAGAAGTAAATGCCTTAAGAAATAAAGAACTTATAGTGAAAAAGTCTAAAAACTAGAAAAAGAAATCTGATGAGGTTGCCGATGTTTTGTAAGTATGACAGTTCTTAATATACAGCTTATAATCAAGACTAAAATGATGGGTATAATTTCCGTACTGCCATCTATCAATACTTTAAGTTTCATAGAAAAAGTTCAGCTTTTTTTACTTATCACAAAATTTTTTTAATACTGTTGCATTTGCCATGTTTTAAGCATATTTGTTGCCATGGCAACCAATTTTTTTTAAATAGGTGAAAAGAGAAAGACATGCATAATCTCCATACTGTCATATACCCATATTTTAAGTTTCATAAAGGTACTTTTCATTTAGTACTTTTTGCATTATCACTAGATCCAGTTTATGTGTTAAATTTGTCATATTTTTAGTCTATTTGTTGTCATAGCAACCAGAATTTTTAACATAGGAAGAAAAGAAAAAGATGTGAACAATTTCCTGACTGCCATCTCTACCCATATTTCAAGTTTCATAAAAATATTTCAAATACTTTTGCATTATCACTGGATCCAGTTTATGTGTAAAATTTGCCATATTTTTAGTATATTTTCTGTCATAGCAACCAGAATTTTCAACATAGGAAGAAAAAAAAAGACGTTCATAATCTCCATACTGCCATCTATCCATATATCAAGTTTCATAAAAATATTTTCACTACTTTTTGCGTTATCGCGGGATCCAGTTAACTGGATGGACTGATGGACTGACAGACGGACAAACAGACGGACGGGCAGACGGACGGAGGGTTAACTTAAAGTCCCCTCCGGTAAACCGGTAGGGGACTAACAAGGCAAACATATTACATAAATAAAAGTTAATTAGATACAATAAAACGGTTGACAAAACCTTTACAAAATACTCTTATTTCAAATAAATGTCAGTTATACCACCAATCTCTGATCAAAGCTTGCATCATGTAGGCTTTTATCCTGTATAGCAAGTCTCGTTGGTCGATAAGGGAATGTGTAGTCCACTTTAAAGATAAAAGAGATGTCCATGAATTGTAGTAAAATGTATGAATCTCGTTTATTTATTATTCTAACATGTCTTGTGATTATGCCATTATACACAAGGAATAAAAAACACCGGAGCTAAAATGCCAATTAATACTGGTAAGGGACTATATGTATATGCAGCTGTTTTTTTTATATGATTACCCTCTGATAAAATGCATTAACAAAATATTTAAGCCAAGAATAAAAGCACATTTTTACTGATATTTTCCGTTCTTATTATGACTTTTATTAATATCATACTAAAATTACACCTCACATAAATATCGCCACTCGTTTTTAATTCAATTTAACGTAATGACGTCATCGTAAGTATGTAATTCATTAAAATAGGCGCCAGATGATATTTGAGGCCATTTTATTTGGGGGCGGGGATGAAGATTGACTTATAGAGCATTATAGTTAAGACAATACAAACCAGTCTGACAGGTACGTATTAAATACTGAAAAATTGATGAAATAATTCTTAAAAAATAAAGTGGAACTTTTTCAATTAACATTAGTTTTATTCAAACTTTTATTTTTTTTCTTTGTTTATTTTTTACCTTAACGGCTGTAGGGTGCGAAATTAAACAATCCTAGTTAAAGACAGGCAGTGTAAATAAACTTCGCTAGAAAAAAAAAGAAGCGCCGCAATGCGACGAAAACCAAGTTTTGATGTGACAGCAATCAATAGGTCAAAGTGCACTGAAGTTAGTGAGTAGAAGCTGAAAATTCTATTGTAAGCAAATGACCATGACCTTGCTCCCAGATATCGAAGTGACAATCCAAAGCTGCCACACAGTAAGTTTGGTGTCAAAAGGTCAAAGCAAACTCAAGTTATTACGTGAAAACTGAATACATTAACCTTGATCACAGACACCTGGGTAGCAATCCAAAGCTGGCTCTTGATATCAGCTACCTATTCATCAAGTTTGGTGTGAATAGGCCAAAGCAAACTCAAGTTATTGTGCAGAAACTGAATTTCTATTTTAAGTATCAGTGACCTTGACCTTGACCACTGAACCCTAGGTAGCAATCCCAAGCTGCCTCTTGATATAACCTACCAATATACCAAGTTTATTGTCAATAGCTCAAAACAATCTAAAGTTATTGAGCTGAAACTGAATTTCTTTTTTTAGTAACAGTGACCTTGACCTTGATCACAGACATCTGGGTAGCAATTTCACGCTGCCTCTTGATAAAAGCTACCTACACACCAAGTTTGGGGTCAATAGGCCAAAGCAAACTCAAGTTATTGAGCGGAAACTGAATTTCTATTTTAAGTAACAGTGACAATGACCTTGATCACAGACCAATGGTAGCAATTCCAAACTGCCTCTTGATATAAGCTATCCATACACCAAGTTTTGTGCCAAAAGGCCAAAGCAAACTCAAGTAATTGAGCGGAAAGTGAATTTCTATTTTTAGTAACAGCGTTCTTGACCTTGATCACAGACACCTGGATAGCAATCCCAAGCTCCCTCTTGATATCAGCCATTCATACAACAAGTTTGGTGTCAATAGGCCAAAGCAAACTGAAGTTGTTGAGCGGAAACTGAATTTCTATTTTAGTAACAGTGACCTTGACCTTAATCACAGACACCTGGGTAGCAATTCCAAACTGCCTCTTGATATAAGCTATCTATACACCAAGTTTGGTATCAAAAGGCCAAAGCAAACTCAAGTTATTGAGCGGAAACTGAATTTCTTTTTTTAGTAACAGTGACCTTGACCTTGCTAACAGACACCTGGGTAGCAATCCCACGCTGCCTCTTGATATAAGCTATCCATACAACAAGTTTGGTGTCAATAGATCAAAGCAAACTCAAGTTATTGAGCTGAAACTGAGTTTTTTTAGTAACAGTGACCTTGACCTTGATCACAGACACCTGGGTAGCAATCCCACGCTGCCTCTTGATAAAAGCTACCTACACACCAAGTTTGGTGTCAATAGGCCAAAGCAAACTCAAGTTATTGAGCGGAAACTGAATTTCTATTTTTAGTAACAGTGACAATGACCTTGATCACAGACACCTTGGTAGCAATTCAAAACTGCCTCTTGATATAAGCTATCCATACACCAAGTTTGGTGTCAATAGGCCAAATCAAACTCAAATTATTGAGCGGAAACTAAATTTCAATTTTAGTAACAGCGTTCTTGACCTTGATCACAGACACCTGGGTAGCAATCCCAAGCTCCCTCTTGATGTAAACTATCCATACACCAAGTTTGGTGTCAATAGGCCAAAGCAAACTGAAGTTGTTGAGCGGAAACTGAATTTCTATTTTTTAGTAACAGTGACCTTGACCTTGATCACAGACACCTGGGTAGCAATTCCAAACTGCCTCTTGATATAAGCTATCCATACACCAAGTTTGGTGTCAAAAGGTCAAAGCAAACTGAAGTTATTAAGCGGAAACTGAATTTATATTTTAGAAACAGTGACCTTGACCTTGCTTACAGACACCTGGGTAGCAATCCCAAGCTGCCTCTTGATATAAGCTACCTACACACCGAGTTTGGTGTCAATAGGCCAAAGCAAACTAAAGTTATTGGGCGGAAACCAAAAGTTGACGAGTATGAAACTGTAATTAAAAACATGAATTATTTCATTTAAATGCCAAACGTACAATCACACCAAACTATGTTTGTATACTTCGTCAATATTCAAAAATGCCATATTTGACACACAACAATCCATTCGCAAATGTTCGAAGACAATACAGAAAACTCATACGAATGAAGTACTTTTACGTACCGTTAGTGGGTGAGTCTTCATCTGTATTAGATTCTTCATCAATTGTGCTTGTTAGAAACTGATTCAAGAACAATATAATAATTGATTGATTAGCTAGATTGGCGAGTTTTTCATCAAAGAGACATTAAGAGATCAGAGGTTCGATAATGCATTGCATAATCCGCGTAGCTAACGTAAGACGGGAACACAAATGTTGGCAATGAATATAGTGCATACTTAATATTGAAATTGTTCATAGAATCGGTTATAGAAATATTTTATCATTCATTTGATAGATTTAGATAGAATATCATTTTTTTCACAGAGTTTCTGTATGAGTTTGAAGTTACTTAAAATGATTTCATTCTTACTCAATTTACATCACATAACAATTACGTATACAACACTTGGATAGAATATGTGTATAGAACATGTAGAATACACTTAATGATTCCTGTTTCAATGTCTCCCCTAAACATGAAAATTATTTTATTTACTGAAATAAAGGGCTTAAAATATGTAAGTCATTACTATACTTGAAAATTTCAAACAAATAACCGGTATTTGATTCAAGAATATTCACTTTGTGCATCTCCGATACAGTTCAAGTTTAAAGTACTTGTGGAGATGTTAATAACATTTGATCTTTTTGATTTGATAGACTTACTTTCTTTCTCTGACGACGTCTGAATTTCTGTAGAAAATCTAGGAAAAAAAAAGAATATTTGTTTTTAATTCTAAAAATAATTGGCATCACATCAAGCATTTACAATATTTACTTAATAAATACTAATTTCTATCAAAGTTAATCAGTCGATATGTAAAATGAACAGATGATAACGATATGTTATTGAATTATAGCTTTGTTGTTGCCAGTGTTGTTTTATTTTTCTGCCCTTCAGAGTCAGAGCAATTTTCGCCTATTTTATTGTTTATATTACTCTCAATAGATATCCCCATTCCTAGATTATTCTTAATACTATGGCTTAAAGTAATTCTGTCCGGCTCACCTATGTCCAGATATAATATGGTCAAAGGAACGCTAAAGAATTACAAAACCTGTATAGGATATACAAGTAATACCTGATTGCATGACAGATACTTGTTTGTTTGTAACATTTTCCATCACCTCTTTATCTTCTTGGCCAGATACCTGTTCATTATATAATGATTTTTTTGATATCATGATATATAATGATATATAATGGTAAGCAGTAATGTCATCATTTTTTATCACTCAACGCATATCAATTGAGAATGCAGAATAATGCTGTCACGACCAGAAAAACAAAACAAAACAAAAAACCAACAAAAAAAAAAAAACAAACATTAATAGCTTCTTCTATTATTGCTCTTTTTATGGTATGAGTAATTGTAAAGAAGGTGGTACGGACGATAAGGAAAGCGCTAGTGCGTGCGTCAAAGACAGTATGATTTTTGGATTTATGTCGGTAAAGGCTTTCCTGACTTTTAGATAAGGCCAATGATATTGCATATTAAACAATTCATTTGACTGTTTTGCAGTTATCAATTTTTGAGTTTAGAATTTACTTTTCTTCCACTATTTTGCATGAAGGTATATTATTTTAACTAGTTTTGAAGTCGACATTCCTACCTAAAATATATTGACAAGTCCGGTTTCTTATGATATTGCTGGGCAAATGGACTCCTTAGCATGCACGGACTACAATCAAACATTATATACACATCTGCCAATCTGCACTAAACTACATTCAAAAGTAAGTACGATAGAATTAAAGAAACTCAAACTTTTTGTACTTTATACATGACATTGAACGTTTGGATAATTCATAAACTAATGTTTAAACTACTTTTCATTCGAAATAACAAAATTAAGGCGTCATCTATTAAATGGTTAAATTTCAATTTTAAACCGTCGATATTCTTGATCAGATCTTCAGTTAATCAAGCTTGAAAATTACAGCGATTGCTTCACAAAATAATGTTGATGCATGAAGAAATTTAACAAAGTTCAGCGCAAATTGTATTTTGTCAAAAAAAAACCCGCTTTTGTACACTTTCAAAACTGCAACTTAATCGATTGCTTAAAAAATGATTACAAAAATACATGACCCGAAACCTAATGTAAGTTCAGTTATCTACCCTGTATACAAGACTAAACTGTTCATCATACTACTCAATATGGATTACCTTTAATAGCTCCAATGATTCTGGAATGGATTCAAGGCTTCCATAACTTTCATTTGACGAAGATTTTTTAAGAGCTTGAACACCTCCAGAACACCTCTTTGATCTCAAATCTTGTGCACCTATATATGTAAGTTTCTACAATAACATACATAAAGGTAATGTGAAGAAATGCGTTGAATATCAAAATCCTCTCGCAGTAATTTACAGATATTCAGACTGATTAAAATCATATACAAATCACAGATTATGTTTTACTCTATCTTGACCTATCAACAGTATTTTCCGAAATAAATGATGTTTTAAAAGATCAATCCCTGACTTACTAATTATAAAGGGATAATGAAAAACTTATGGTATTAATAGTCTTAACCAATTTCTAGAAGTGAAAATAAAACTTTGTTTAAACTTTAAACTATGCTTTTGAACTTTCGGCAAACCATTCACAAGGATATATCTAAATGCCTAATCATACAGGAAAGTTTAGGATTGAATTACTAAATACCCGCATCATTGAAGACATCTCTAAAGTCAAATAGATTAGTGGTTACATGAATGAATACAGTTTCTTCAAGCTTTTCTGAGATTTTATCAGCAATGCTGTTCAGTGTGTTTGCCGTTTTCACATTTTGCACAGTATCCAATAAATGCTCCATTCCCTCAATAGAACTGCATTTCAATGGAAGTGAGATCCCTTTCTCAGAGTCATGTTTTTGACTGTCTAAAAACAACAAGAAAAAGAAAACAAACAAAAAACAACAGAAACGTCAGTTCTTAAATGATGTGGAATTAGACCACTGCCAGTAAATTACAGGTAAAAACTTTTGGTATATATGTAAACTAACCTCTAAGACAAAATGAAACAAATAAACAAATTGCATGTAAGTTCGATATGATTGCACGATGTAACATAAAGTCAACAAGGCAGTCTGAAGGACGGCAAAGTCCCCTTCCGCAGTAAATATAAATTTGTAATTCTTGACCTTTTACCAACTATGACCTTGATGTTGTGCCATGCATTTCATAAGCACATAGTCTCAAAATGGTTATTATTTGTGCTAAGTAATTGAACAATCTTCCATTAAGTAAAAAAAATGGAGAACAAAAATTATAACCTTGACCTCGGGGGTAGCAACCTGCATGTTGAACTCTGCAGATTATGTCATGGTGGGGATCATATATGCCAAGTAATTTTAAAACCTTTAAATTGTCAAAACGTTATACAGCAGGCATGAAAAATATATGTTTTGAGTGTGACACTGACCTTCAGGGTTGTGACTTGATTATTGTGCTCTGCCGATGGTGTCATAATAGTGATCATTTCTGCCAAGTTATCTTAAAAACATTGCAGCGGTTTAAATGCTATGAACAGACACGAAATGTAGATTTTCTAACATTTGATCTGTAAGTGTGACATTGACCTTGGGGTTAGCAACCCAATTATTGCGCTCTGCACATCGTCTCATAATGGGTATCACTTGTACCAAGTTAATGAAAAAAAACTTTTCAGGGGTTTAAAAGTAATAAAGCGGACACAAAATGTAGACTTTTAACATTTGACCTTTAAGTGTGACCTTGACCTTGAGGTAGCAACCCAATTATTGCGCTCTGCACATTCTTACATTATGGTGATCACTTGTGCAAAGTTATTTCAAGAAACTCTCAGCGGTTTAAAAGTTATTAACGGACACGTAATCTATACTTTTTATTATTAAATTTAGACTTTTTAACATTTGAACTTTAAGTGTGACATTGCCCTTGGGGTAGTAACCCAATTATTGCGCTGTGTACATCATGTCATTATGGTGATCACTTGTGCCAAGTTATTTCAAACATTTTCAGCGGTTAAATAGTTATGGAGCGGACACGAAAGTGTTACTGACGAACGGACGGACAGACAGACAGACAGACGGACTGACAAACAGACGGAGGCCATTCCTATAATCCCCTTTTTGCTATGCGGAAGGGGATTAAAAAGGAAATAATACTTATCTAAATGAAGCATACAAAATATGAATAACCTGCAGTCTGAATGCTTGACAGACTTTCAAGTGTTATGTATCCTTGTACGAGAAAGGTATCTTCGTACAAATAGCTTAATTCGTTTGAAATATTACAAATCCTTTTCAGGAAGTCCTGACTGCTTAAGTAGTCCAGAAGATGCATTACTCCATCTAGTGTTGAACAAGTAAAGGTAATCATGATGCAGCATCTAGTGATCCCAGTAGGTGTTATGTTTGGATGAGATGTAATACTTGACATAAACCGGTCTGTTTCCATCTGCAAGAAACTATCACCGTCATGTGATTGGAGAAGCGATGCTCTTAATTTCTTTTCAAGAACGTCCTCTGCGTTTCTTTTCTTCTCTTCATCTTCACACGATATCATTATCTTAAGCTCTAAATCTGAACAAAAATAAATAACCACAGAATTTCGGTAAGCAGATGGTACAAGAAACACATACATTTACTCTTAATTTGATATATATACATTAAAATAAAAATGACCAATTTTACATGTATAAGGGACAGCAAATATATCACAATATTATACATATAGCAAACATACATTTGATTTTTTTTCGAAATCAAACCTAATTAAAAAATTTGGTTAAATTATAAGGATAATAACTGACCATGTTCGCACTTGAATTGGAGCCCTCTTTCTTTCAGTTGTCTCAATCTTTGTGCTAGTTGATACATGTATTCTGCAAATGATATTCAAAATTATACTTAGAAATAAAGTATTTAACATGTATACCATACGGAGAAATCTACAACAATCAAAATGATGGTCAAAATACATTTCAACCAACTATTTAAGCAACGTATATTTTAAATGTATATTTATTCAGCTATAAAAAGTGGTTTAAGATATGTAACATCTTTCTCATGTAAAAAGAATAAACAACAAAAACTCATTACATTTTAAACTTTGTACATAGCATTTCACGTAACATTTTTCTAAACCAAAACACTAAAGTTATTTTTTGATCATTTAAACTTATAATTTTACCATTGTAAACGCATTCCAATGTTTTAACTGGAGCTCCAGCTTTTCTGAGCTGGTCTAAATAATCATCTGCATCACCTTCATTGCATCTTTTCTTGTAGCGGACAATAAGATTCTCAATGTAAAGTTTCTTTCCTTCTTCAATTCCCATTGAAAGATGTTTAAGACTACTAATTAAATCTGTCCAAATTTCAAGGAATTCGTCAGCATCTAAACAGCTTATAGCGTGCATTGCATAGTTTTGTCTTGCAGCTTTTAATTCTTCAATTTTATTTATCTCATCCATCCTTAAATCGGTAAATATCAGGAGAATGACAGACGCTAGAAGGCCAATATCCCAGCAATTGTGATCTATTTGACCAGATCCTTGTGGGAAAAGAAAATGATGATATTCTTCCTGAATTGTTTGTAAAAGTATCTCTTTGTTTTCAGAAATAAGAAAATCCAGACTCTTGTCTTTTCGTAATTCTCTCTCTAGAATCCCACGAAGAGCAGTTCCACCTCCATCAAAAAGCAGTTTGAGGTATCGAACAAATCGCTCCGGCGTTGTCTTAAAAAACGTCTGAAATTCTTTAACAGAATCAATCATCAAAACAATTATAATTGTATATATCTTATATAGTCTTCGAAGGGTTTAACACATTTCTGTTTGTGTATCAGTGGTATAAAGTAACAATATGAAAACAGGTTTTGGAAATTTCGTGATACATGCAAAAGAATAAAATGGAATTCTTTAAGAACGCCCATAATTGAAAATGTTGTAGGCTCAGTTTGAATTAATTGTCACCTTTCAATTATCGTACAAATGATTATTTATTAAGTACATAATCACAATCTTAACCAAATTCATTAAAATCACGACTTTAAAGCATCTTTTTAAAAAAAAGTTTTAATTTGTTTAATTATTCAATGTTAAATACATAGAAATGAAAATCAAATTTATTATAATTTGTGTCGTAGTTATACTTTTATTCGTCTTACCTTTTGATTTCTTCAACAATTCCTCAACCTTCAAGATGTTTAAGAATATAATTAATTCAAATCAATGTAAAACCAGTTGTAACGACCGATAAAGCTGTACAAATAAACATTAATATCTAAACTGTACAAGAAACTATAAAAATTAATTTTTAAAATAGAAATTAAAGATATACTGTACAACAAAGGTTCGATAAAATTAAACCAAAATATAAAAATTCACCAATATATAATTCATTTCTTGTTTGTCCTTTATTATAAAAGAATAATCGCTCTTTTTGTCGCAACTTAAATTATTGTTAATCATTAAAAAAAACTTATATAAACTTAAAATAAAAATATCAAAATGATAATCACTTGCGATTGCAGCCTCTTTGTTTCGTTGTCTGCTTCTGCGAGCTCATTAAGATATCTTCTCATTTTCCCATTCTCAGTTTCAAAATATAAGTCCTTATACTCGCAAAATGTCTTCTTTATATTGCCCATCTTTCCTCGATCGAAAGCTGCAAATACTCTTAATAATATTACTTCCATTTTATTGAAAATGTGAATGTATTCTGCTTCATCCAGTTTTGCACTTTCTCTATGACCAATCAATTTATTCCTGGTATTTCTTAAACGAAGCAGGTCTGCACCAAGGGATGTATCCATAGGTTGTGGATTGGTATGCCATCCTAGCTGTGGTCCTAATATTCTATCCCTGCATAATCCTAGGATAAGCCTAATTAACAATGCGATATCAAATTTTTCAGGCTCCGGCCATGTGGAACTTACAAGAGTGTATTCCTTTTTATTCAGGACACTATTCTTAAACATATCTCGTAGCTTTGCTTTTGTATCTTTGTCAGTCAAGAACTCTGTAATATTTTCACTCTTGATTAAATGTCTAAACAACTGAAGAAGAGTGTCTTTTGTTAGGTCCATATACATGCATATAGTCCTAAGAAAGTATGTCCTTTCAATGTTATTACTCGTATTGTCTGACATATTTCAGTTTAAATTAGATAGCGTCAATTACGAATATGCTTTCATCAATGCACCTAAAATGACAATAACATTATCGTAAGGCGACATTTGTACAACATCTAATACATGTACAGAATTAGTAGATGTTAAATATCAATCTCCTGATTTTTCTTAAGAAGGTAAACTAATTAGATCCAAAATTCATATCTATCCAGTAAATACCAGTTTCATGCTTCAAATATATAAAAATAAAAATCCGAAAGGGAGTGAAACATCCAACAATAAATGCCGCCCTAGAAAGTTCAATTCAAACGGCACCCAAATGGTGCAATTGCAGAAAAAATGGGCGAATAACGGACCAATTATTAACAAAAGAGGATGTTAAGTTAAGGAATTTGTAGGGGGAAAAGAGGAAGTAGAAACATTAAGAAGGGATGGAAGGACAAAATGACATGCAAAAAGTATTCAGTCCGTAGATACCAAAATAAAATGTTAAAAATCCGAGCATGTACAAATATATTGATTTATTGAGTTAAAAAAAGAAAAAGTCTTTTTTAAATTTGGGAAAATTTTTTTATCACAGGGGCCCTTTAAATGCAAAGGGGGAAATTAAAACACCCCAAACTTAAAACATAATTATTTAAAATTTGGGAAAGTTTATTCAAGCCGCCCTTGCCCGCCAAAAATTTTTAGATGTTACAAATTTTGTTTTCCCAAATTTTTTTTGGGACCAAAACTTTTTGTTTTTATTTAAAGGGTTTAAAACCCTAAAAAATATTCAATGTAAACATTTAAAACCCTTTTTTTTACAAAAATTTTAAGGGTTTTCTGGGGCCTAATTTTAGTGGGTTTTAAACCTTTTTGTAAAAATTTCATATTGCATATTTGTAGCCAAAATAATCACTTCATACATTTCTATGAGTGCTGAAACTAAAAATTCAAATTTTTCCCAACATTCAAAAATCATTGAACCACAACCAAATTCGAACTTGAACTGCTTATATGTAAATGTCAAATTTGAGTTGAATATGTACAACTATTGGAGAGATAATGAACGGAAACAAAAAAAAATTTTTTTTTTCAAAGTTAAAGAGGGATACCACTGTCAGCTATCATCAAACAATGACCAAATTCGAACTTGACCAGTGTATTCTTATGAAATATCCATATGTAACAAAATTTGAGTTGAATATGTACAACTGTTAGGGAGATAATGAACGGAAACAGAAAAAAAAATCCTTTCTTTTAAAGTGAAAGGGGCATAACTCTGCCAAAAATCATCGAACCATGAATAAATTTGAACTTGACCCGCGCATTCCTTTGATGTATCCAAATATCAAATTTGAGTTGAATGTAAAATACTGATGGGGAGATAATGAACAAAAACTGAAATGTTCATATTATTTTCAGAGTGAAAGAAGCACAACACTGCCAAAAACAATCGAACCATGACCGAATTCAAACTTGACCTGTGCATTCCTTTGACGTATCCATATACTAAATTTTAGTTGAATGTGTAATACCGTTCGGGAGATAATGAACGGAAACTGAAAATTTCATATTATTTTCAAAGTAAAAGGGGCATAACTCTGCCGAAAATCACCAAACCATTACCAAATTCGAACTTGGCCTGCACATTTCTTTCACGTATCTATATGTCAAATTTGAGTAGAATGTGTAATATCGTTGGTGAGATAATGACCAGAAACTAAAAATTTCATATAATTTTCAAAGTGAAGGGGCATAACTTTTCCAACTAGAAATGAGTCCATAGGACACGGGTGCCCCCACACTAATCTTATGACTTTAGGTCAAACATTTTTAGGCTACATGTGCCACAAGTTGAAAAATAAAAGTCGTTTACAAAGTCAAGGGCAAGAACTTAACAAATACTGAATAAATCTACAAGCAAACCTCAAGGTGTATAAGTACATGTCTGACCAACATTCTTGTGAACTTTCAGACCTACAGGTCAAATATATTTTAAGTTGTGCATTTACAAGTTGAAAATTGCAAATTTAAACTTAGTCAAGGGCAATAACTTTTAAACTTACAAAACTGAAAAAAAATCCAATTGCAAAACCCAGGCATATAGCTTCACAGTGATGTGTTCATTATTCCTGTAAAGTTGTTTGATTCTAACCCAAGCACTCGGGGAACAAATAGCACAACATAATGGAACGGTTTTCACTAAGTCAAAGGCAATTAATCTGACAAAACAGAATAAATCCACAAATAAAACGCCAGGTGCACAACTTCACATGCTGAGCAACATTCCTGTAAAGTTTCATTACACTAGATCAAATACTCTTTGAATTAAGTGTGACAAAAGTTGAAAATCGTAAAGTTTTACGAAGTCAAGGGCAATAACTCTAAAAATACTAAACATATCCACATGAAAATACCCAGGTGCACAACTACACATGCTGATCAACATTCCTGTGAAGTGTCATGACTCTAGGTCAAATTCTTTTTGAGCTACATATGACACCAGTTGAAAATTGAAAATATTTACTAAGTCAAGGCAATAACTCTTTAACAAGAAACAATAAATCCACAAGCGAAACCCCAGGTTCACAACTACATATGCTGATGTCAAATACTTTTTGAGCTACGTCCGATACAAAAGAGAACGGACGGACGGACTGATGGACGGACGTGCGACACAAAAGAAAAAGGACGGACGGACTGATGGACAGACGGATGGACGGACGGATAAGGGTAAATCTAAATGCCCCCTAAAGTGGGGGCACAAAATCATCGACCCATGAATAAATTCGAAGTTGACCTGCCCATTCCTTTGAGGTATCCATATGTCAACTTTGAGTTGAATGTGTAATACCGTTGGGAGATAATAAACGGAAACTGAAAATTTTATATTATTTTCAAAGTGAAAGGGACATAACTATGCTAATCAAAGTGCTGAAATCACTGAATGCGACGGACATGCAACCGAAGAGACAATAAGGCTTTTTCAGGAAAAAACACAAAAGATATAACAGAGACAATTTGTTCCTTACACTTGTTCGAGATTTGCAGAGCAATCTATTTTAGGTGTCCCAATCTGATATCATTCCGATTTTCTACTGTCAAGCAGAACAAGTCCAGATTTTTAGATACAGAATGAAATTTATGCCTCAAAAATGGCCAAACTTGTACATAATGTACTGAGAACATGCTAACAAACCCAGCCAAATGCATATTTAAGAACATAAATATTGTGAATAAACATTTAGAAATATGACATTTAGAAATATTTTCAACAAATTTTCGTGCAAAGTACTTGCATATGTGAGTAGAATTGTATAATACTCAAATCAGTGTACTTATAGATTTATTCCAAGAAATATGTTAATAGAAAAACTGTAATAAAAACATGCAAATAAAGTTTTTTGTAGAAAACTTTCAAGCATAATACATGTGAGTATGTTAATAAGAATGGCCCCTGTTATATCATTGTTGGCATTTAAAACTAGAGCCACTGTCTGTCCGGGGACATGTTCAACTTTTTCTTATTTTTTAAGCCAATTATAGTGATAATCAGCGAAAATAATTAATTTGACTGACAAGGTCAAAGGCATTTTGAAACTGATATATATAAAGATGCTGACCTGACTGATGCTGTGTCTAATATGAAGTAAATCCATTTATAAATAACATAGTTATAGCCAGTAACAAAAAAAGAATCTTATTACTCTGACCTTGACAGTCAATGTCAATTTAAGGTCAAGGCCACGTCTAGATTATTCGATATGTTTATTTGGAAGCAGGTAATGTTTTGTCTAAGTTTAACTCAAATCTGTACGAAAGTAACAAAATAATTACAATTTAACTAAAATTCAATAATTTGACTTTGATGGTCAAGGACATTTAAGTATCAAGGTCAGTTCAACCTTTTAAAAGTTCTTGACCAAATGTTGTTCTGTCAAAAAATGAATCTATCCACTTAAAAATTACCAACTTACAGTCAATTATAGCAAAAATATGTCACAATTCAATAATTTAACCTGGAAGTCAAGATCATTTGAGAACCAAGGTCAATTTGAGTCTGATATACATAAAAGTCTCATCCTAAGGAATGTTGTGTTTTAATATGAAGTCATTAATAACAAAGTTGTAGCCAATGTCAGTCAAATATTTTTTTCATAATTGGGCCTTCAAGATCAAGGTCATTAATGAGTGAAGGTATGTCTGATTAAACTTGAAGGCCTACCTATTATTATATTCATGTTTGAAGACAATCCATTAACAAACAACAAAGGTAAAGTCATTAATAGCAAAAGTCATAAAAGACAAGCATTTATGATAGTCTGGTCTACTTGAAGGTCTTGTCCCAAGGGTTGCTGTGGTCAAATATGAAGACAATACACAAAGAATTCAAAAATGTTATGATCAAGGTTAAAGTTAAATAATAATGTGGAACACGCAGTAATGTAATAAGAAAGCTATGCAAGAAGTTATTATCGTACTAATAAATGTACTCACAATTGTCAATTAGCATGAAAAGAGGTATCTGTAACACAGTTTGTCCAAATTTCCTTCAGTACTACATTAGTAACAGATGTTTGTTGTGTCAATAAAGTGTATGTAAAGGAACCTAATATATATTCTCAAACAGTTTGAAATAATGGAGTCACACTATATCAGTTATCAGATTATTAAAATAAGCCTTTGTAGAAATCAAATGTAATCAATTAGCATTCACAAGAAATTCCCATATAATGTGTTGGTATATAAATAAATAAAATAAATATATATATATATATATATATAATATATATATATATATATATATATATATATATATATATATATATATATATATATATATATATATATATATATATATATACATTCAAGTTCCGCACAAATGGCGTGTTTCTATTGTAAATTTTAGGGATTATATACTGAAAAAGGACCTTTTAACACAAATATTGGAGCATCCCAGAACACTGAATTAACACCACATTTTTTTTCTGTAAACTGATAGTTACTGGCATAATTTTCTTTTGCACCATACCCTATAAGGAAGTGTAGTATTATAGTTCTACATACACATGTTTTATTTGTTGGA